TGAGAGAAATTCCAAGAATACGATTTAGGAATTTCATTAATGAAAATACCATTTTGCGGCGTCAAATTTGCTTAAAAAATTTATCAAACTAGTAGAAAATACAAAACATACATTTTTTTAGAGCTAACCGCTACTAGGTGTTTGTATKTATATATACTGTAATGCCGATAAGCTTTTGAAAGAAAAAAATAATAGCAAAATTCAGCGATTACTAGGGCTTGTGACATATAAACAATAATTAAATTGCGTCTAAGGTTTGTAGTATTATCACAGTTTAGTTTTGTAGTTCTTTTTCATGCAAGTTGTAAATCAGCGCCTTGAACTTGAAAACAAGAGTTGTGTATTGTAATTCTAATGACTGAACTAGCTGTGATGTAATTATACTGTTGTGGGAGGAGGCAGTGAATTGAGGCGGATTGACACGTTCACTTTATTTTTCACTATTTCGTTGTAATTACGATAGACTTGGTATTATAAAAGAAAATGTTATTACAAGGACGAAATAAAACATTGCTATGAATGKTTGAAAAACATTTTTTAAGAACTTTATATATTATACTGCACTTTTTTCGTTGTAACTTTTGTTTACAGATATCACATTTTGAAAATCTGGGACAATGATACTTAGAAAAATTCTCTATAAATATTATTACATGCTTTTTTACGAAATAATTTATATTTTTTGTTACACATTTCTTGAATATGGCAGTAATTTGTCTAACCGCTATCTCTCTCTCTCTCCGCAAACCAGTTTAAGTCTAAAAAAAACTAACCTCGCGCCAATATGTGGACCTCAATTTAACACTAAAGAATAAAATACGTTGCCTACCTTTAGGCGTTCACCCTAAATACATTTATATATAAGAAATATATATTTCTTGCATTGCACTTTGCTGTATAAGCCTTTTTCAAACCAGTTCGAATCTAAGAAAAAAGGACCTTTGTTCGCGCAAAAATGTAGGCATTAATTTACCACGAAAGCATTAAAAATACGTTGCCCACATTTAGGTTTGCACCAAAAGCATACATATATTCATATTAGAAGTAAATAATTTCACTCTGCTTTATAAGYAGAATATCCACTAGAAGACATTCACCACTCCACCTAAGGCCCGCCACAAGCTTCTAAAATCAACCCTGCCATCTGTCCATCARTTAATCAGTGAGACATGCAAAACTAACCTCGCTTTCGAAAAATAAGCTAAACCATCAACATCGTTACACTTTATGGCTCATGAACTGCTACTCCAACAGCTAAGAGTCTGAAAAATGTATAGCATTCAAGACAGTTGTATATTCAACATTAACTGCCAACAAACAATGGTGGTGTCAGCRAAATGGCGAGTGGCAAGTGGCAAGTGGTGACTGTTGAACGACGCTTGACATCAAAGCGCCAACAACAAGAGTAAATCAGTCGCACTTTTACATGGCAGACTGACAGATAGACTGATTTGCAGACGCAGATAGATAATKTTTAAATCTCAGCCTGCGCTGTTGCAGGCAATATGGACTGATGAAGTTGTTGCTTTACTCTCTTTGCATTATATTTTGCATTGTGCTTTGATGTGGAGACTTGATTTGACTACCAAAAGTCTGCTTTTGAGAATAATTTACTTTTRAAATTCTAACCTTAAAATTAATATTGAAATTTTAAGTTATAGCCGAGGGCTTTTTAGGGTTGCCGTCTATCAAAAACAAAAAAAAATGAAATATTTTTTTAAAAATAATACAAAATTAGTAAATTCTTTAATAATAACAAAAATATAAGAAAAGTTTTCCACATATTCTTTATAGTACTCATAAATTACGGCTTGGGAAACTACATACTAAATTTCAGCAAAAAAACTACGCCAAATGGCATACAAATTTATGAAGTAACACACAGCAATGATTTTCCGACAGTTTTTTTTTAACTTTTTGTTCCATAGCAAGACTTCTTAAATAGCACTAGCCCRCTCACACCAATCATACAACATTTAAAACGCATTAAACTGCTTACAAATTGCAGACAAGCAGCTAAAAAACGATAATGCTAAATTTGCGGAAGCAACAACAATGCTTAGGCAGACTTAGCAAATTGGTGCTAAGAAAATGCAGCAGCGCAACTTAAGACCATGAATTTTATATATAGTATATGCAAAAGTTGAAGCGCCACATTGGCACTGAAATTACGACCGCCAACATAGAAAGCGCACTAATCAGCATATCAAATTTTGAGAAAGGAGAGGTAAAATTTTGAGAGAGGAGAAGTTGAATGGAGGGGAAAAATGGAAGGCAAAGTGGTAGGATTAAGTGAGGAGACTTTCTAAAAAGTGCATTAAAAGCAAATGCACTTGAGGACATGAGAGGCGCACACACGCAGTGTTAAAACTACTAAAATTTGAAAAGAGGGCATGCCAACACATATATACATGTGTGCGCGGAAAAGCAAAACCATAAGATAAGATTTGCTGTCGGATAATTTTCAAGCGCCAACACCAACACCACCACGGTTGCCGCTAATGAAGTCGCGGCTAATGATATTTACACTGATGAAAGCCATTATGTTGATGAGCTAAAGATGCTGACAGAAATTCAGAAATTTCGTAAACATGCGCGCACCGC